CTTTGAACTTTATGTTAAAGTTAGGCTCTGCTCCCCTGGGGGCAGCGAGGTCCTGTCCCAAGCTTCGGGCTTTTTTTGTGCCACTGTTTTCAGAGCTAGTTCTGGGGGTCTGCAAGTTTTTGGTGCTTCCAAGATGGTGTGATCTGGGGAGAGGTGTGGTCTGCGCTCTGGTCTTTATCTGGGAAGGGCCCTGCTTCCCTGCAGCCACAAACCCAATTGCTCCTCTTTGCCTTGGAACTTTGACCAGGGCCCCTGCTCCTTTGTGACTGATGATGAGAAGGGTTCCTCTCTGCCCTGAAACTGTAGCCCAGAACTGCTTATGGGCAATAGAGTTGCCAATCAGAGCCAGCTGCAACCAGTGCCAACAAAGGGTCCCCTGTAACCTCTTTCTGACCACTTATCTGATCCCCTTACCGTCCCTGTGCTGCTGCTGCAGCCACCTTCAAGGCCCACCCCTAGTACTGCTGTGCTTCACTCGGGGTCGGTGCTCACCCGGGGCGTTACAGACGTCTACAGCTTATGTCCTAAGTTGTCTTAGGCTCGAAAAATATCTCACTCTAACCTCTTGTTGCTTTTGCCACCCCAAAATTTGATTTGAAGAGTTATTTTAAAGTTGTTTAGAGGGGAATATTGGGAGAATTCAGCTGGGTGCCTTCCTGTCTTCTGCCAACCAAGCCCCCAGTGCTGTTGTCCTAGAGAGTTGCTCAGAGTTACACAACTAAGTGTCATAGGCAGGATTTGAACTAGGCTTCCCTAACTCCAAGCCTAACTTTCTACTATATTAGGTTGCTGCTACAAACAAGCAAATAAATAAGCAAAATAAGAAATAAAATACCAAATAAAACCAGGAAATATAAATGATATATATTTAGAAGAAAAAATAAAGCAGAAGTCTTAGCAGCTTATTTGCTCTATGTCTCACTTTAGACCTCTTTTTGGTTGTATACTTAAAAGATTTTATTCTTTTTTACATAGTCATCATCATAATGTTTTAATCCTACTTTCTTTGATCTATATATATTTTTCCATTTTTCTTTGTATTTTTCATATTTGTCATTTTTTATAACCCAGTGATATTTCATTGCATTTCCATACCCCTGTTGTTTCAGCCATTGGACATTGTTGGAATCTACGCCAGGCAGGACTCACATGTGTCTGTAATTAGGCAGAGAAGAAGGCTAAGCTTCTTTAGGGGCCGGGGGAGAGCAGCCAAATCCTCCAGGCTGTAGTGACTCTGAGGGGGCAAAGACAAGCAGGGGAAGTTGTTGCCTGACAGAATCCAAAGCCTGAAAATGTGTGGAAATGCACGAAGGAGAAATGCAGGCACTTGACACATTTTCTCGTCTCACACTGCCTTTGGGGGGGGATCTCGTTATTCCAGAGGAACGGCGTCCACAGGGCTGGCACACTGTGTGTTCTCTGGTGAGTCCCCTCCCCCCCTCCCCATCACTGCCAAATTCATGGACTTTGAGGCTTTGTCTTATAGAGTGGCATCAGGGAGTGCTGCCAAGTTGGGGACTCTCTTGTCCTCTCCTTGGGCCCCAGTGTTTTAGTCCTCAATCAGTTGGATGAAATTACTAGGTGTTGAGAGGTGGGTAACAGAGGCATTGAGATGTACGGATATATTCCTTTCTGACTCTTAGTGGCCCATTCGTACCTGAGTAACAGGCATTGACTATTGGTGAAGGCAAAAGGGGGATCAGCCGCACCCCTGTGGCCTACGTAAAAGGTAAGTTGATCCCCCCTGAATCAGTCAAGAAGAGAGCCATTTATGGAGAGAGAATTCAATTCTTGAAGAATCTCTTGCTCCTGTGGCAGAGTATAAGTACAGCAAGGGTGACAGGATTTCTCCTTTGCCCTTCCCTTTATTGGCACCAAGATACAGATGACCCACTAGTCTACTCAAAAATCCATCTCATGCTCTTTCTTTTCTTTCCCTTACATCCTGTAATTTCATCAAGCATCCCCAACTGGGAGACTGAATTGATTGATGAACCCTGTACATCCCCATCAGCAGTGGAAGACAGAGACTCAGAGAACAGAATTTGTAGTCAATATCATATTCTAAGCCCTGTGCTTCTGTGTTTGTAGTCAAGGTGAGCCCCTTCATAACCGAGGCCAGTGGAGCATGAGCTAGATCTGGCGTGAAGATTCTTCCATCAGAGAGGCCACAGGGCTTGAGAAGGGGCTTGCTTTCCTTTCTGCTAGTTTTTTGGGAATATCTGTTGATGTGGAGGTTGTGAGTGGATAGCCAGAGTTGGCTTCTTACAGTTGAGAGCTCACCAGGGATGTTATAATGGTTAGCACCCTGGATTTTTTGTGGGGAAAGTGCAAAGAGTTTATTGCTTATAAAAATAAGTTATCTAACGATGTAGATTTCTGGAAACATATGTGAAGACCTGTTCCCCTTAAAATGACAGTAGCTCCTGAAAATGACTTACAAGACTGATTGAGAAAGATGAGCTCACCAGTACCTCTTACACACTCATAACTTTCTTATGTGCACAAAAAAAGTCTTTTCTTCCATGTACTAGGTGAAATATATAATTAATTTGCATCAGCCACAGAGACAGAGCCTTGTATCCAAGAACACTGGCTCAACCTTAATACATAGTAAAACACTATTTATTCAGTATTTTTTTTTTTTTTTGGTTAGGCAATGGGGTTAAGTGACTTGCCCAGGGTCACACAGCTAGTAAGTATTATGTGTCTGAGGCTGGATTTGAACTTAGGTCCTCCTGAATCCAGGGCCGGTGCTCTATCCACTGTGCCACCTAGTTGCCCCTAAAACACTATTTATTAAAGGAGGAAAACAAATGTCTTGCTGTGACTGAGTGACCTAGTGGCCATGTTGACTCCTAGTAATCATTGTTTCCCTTAAGAGAACACTGTACCTGCCCAGTTCTATCCCTTTTGTTCATGTTGCTACCCAGGCCTATGGTGCTAGTCCCCCATTCCCAATTCTGCCTTTTGAAATGATACCCATTCACAAAATCTTAGCATCTTAAGAATTGGGAAGGACCTCGTGTGCATGTGGGCCAATCCATTCTTCAAGGTTCGCTCCCATGCCACCTCTTCTGTGGTATCTCCCCTGGCTCCTTTGAGCCAGACACGGTGTCTCCTTTGTCTGCACTCTCCAAGCTCCATGGTTGGATTTTGCTCCCATTGGAATTCTATTATGAAATGGAACTGTATGTGAATGTCTTCTGGCCTTGACTAGGCTGGAAGAAGCTTCTTCAGGGAAGAGAGCAAGAGTTCTCTTTGGATCCCCAGCACCCAGCACAAGGCCTTGCACATACTAGGCACTTAAGAAATGTTTGTTGAATGAATTTATGAAAAGTGGCATGGCTGTGAGTGCTTCACAGTATTTGACATGGGTGTTTTTTGTTCTGACTCTTGGTATCTACCTAGAGGTAGAGACACCAAGGCAATGAAGGCTAATGTCACGTGAGTATGGGCAAAGAACTGCCTTCTGGTAACATGGAAGGCACAGAACAAACATACCTAGATTGGCCTGGAGGAATGTGGGAGCCTAGTTGGATTCAAGAATGAGGGAGGCCTGGAGCTTCATTCATCCAGACTCAATAATGACTTCATCTAGTTGCTAATTGAGCAAATGGCAGTTTCTTCTAAAGCCAAGACTTGGCCTTCAGAGACAGCATAAATTACTTATGTCTGTGTCTTGAAAATAGTCATATGCATTTTGGCTTCTTCTGGGTCATAGGCAAGAATTTCTATGAATGATTTTTTGTAGATCTCTAGAATGTTAGACATCTCATTTCCAGAGCTTGCTCAAAGTAGCACAGCTAGTTAGCTGCAGACCTGGGAGTGGAGCCCAGGCTCTTTTGAATAGACTATACTGTCCACTTCTTTAATAATCAAGATGGTAGTAATAATAATAGCTGACATGTATATTACATTTATTGAGTGCCCAATTGGTGCCAGATACTGTGCTAAGTGCTTCACAAATAGTACCTCACTTTATACCCACAACTCTCGGTGACTACTTTGCAGTTGAGGAAACTGAGACAGATAGCAGTAAGGTGACTTGCACAGGGTTACCCAGCTAGGAAGTTTCTTTTTTTTTTATATGTATATTATTTTATTTTTTCTAATTACGTGTAAAGATAGTTTTCAACATTCATTTTTTAATAAGATTTTGAATTCCAACTTTTTCTCCCTCCCTCCTTCCCATCCCCCCTCCCCAGGACAGCAAGCAGTCTGATATAGGTTCTACATGTACAGTCATGTTAAACATATTTCCACATTAGTCATGTTGTGAAAAAAGAAATCAGAAAAAAAGGGGAAAACCACAAGAAAGAAAAAACAAAAACCAAAAAAAGTGGAAATAGTCTGCTTCGATCTGCATTCAGACTCTGTAGTTCTTTCTCTGGATGTGGGCAGCATTTTCCTCATGAGTCTTTGGGAATTGTCTTGGATCCTTGAATTGCTCATAGTTGTCTTGTTACTGTGTACAACGTTCCCTTGGTTCTGCTCACTTCACTCCCAGCTAGGTTTCTGAGACTGGATTTGAACTTAGGACTTCGTGACTGGAGGCCCAGCACTTGAAGGACTTGCCACCTAACATCCCCACATTAAAGTTTGCAAAGTACTTTGAATACATTATCTCATCCAATTTGAAGACATTAGCCAACTACTATTCTGTAGCTTTGAGCTCGGGCATGAAGAACATTATTTAAGTCGATGCATTTTATCTTGTGAGAATAAAGAAAAATGCTTTTTAGAAATAAAATAACTGCCAGGCAAGAATTTATAAATAAAATTTGCTCTGATTTTAGCTTAAAAGAACGTTTTAAAAAATCACTTTTGACTCCAAGGAGTATTTAAGGTTCACCTGTGAAAAAAGGAAAAGGGTTTCTTTTTGCCATTAAGCCAAAGAAAGTGAAATAGTATTTTAAATTGGCTTGTTTCTTGTTGACTGGTCTCTTAGCTAATGAGTTGAATTCACTGCGTATCTGTCTCATTTGTCTTTGTTTCAGAGCTTGTTGAAAGACTGACAGAAACAGAAGAGGATCCATCATGTGTGCCTGAGTCTATTGAAAGACTCTACAGGGAAGTGGCAAATATGGAGAAAGAGGCTTTGATCGATACCCAGAAAGCCCAGGTAGAGGGGATCTGCTCTCATGGCTAGTATAGATATGACAAAGGAGTTCATAATTATCTTTAATCAGGAGACACACTAAACAGATCTCTGTGTACCGTTTTCATGCCTCATGGGACATCAGTAGAATTTTTATTTTATTTTATTTTGTTATTTTTCAGAAACTGGCTTCTTGTCACCCAAATTGAAAATTTCCCAGTAGTGGAGAATGCTATTCAAAGTTTCTCTAGCTGCTGATCTTTGTTTTTTCCAGGGGCAGGGAGGGTTAGGATTAGTGAATTGTCTTAATATTTAAATGAAGGCAACCATTAGTTTCATTTAAAAAATTGCTGTCCATTTCTGCAACTCTTTGGGGACTATTCACTCATGCAGTAACCTCAGAACAAAGGAGCATTTGCTCTTGTTCTCTCTTAGCTTACATGAAGAAACTTGAAATAATAGAAACAAACAATTTCAGCCTCACAGCATTTTACTTAGCAAGAAGAGCTGGGGAGCTTCTGTAGCTTGGGCCTCGGTTTGCTGCCAGGAGGGGGAGGCTCCTTGGTTTGGAGAGAATGCCTTGAGTATTGAGAATAGTGAGGGCACTGTCATTCTCCCAGTAACCTCGATTTGCTACTTCTGAGTCACCCTCAGTTCTTCATCTTTTCCCCACATCTCCCATCAGTTACTGAGTTCTCTTGTTCCTACCTGCACATTTCTCACATCTGTTCCCTTTTTTCTTCTCAGACAGGCACCACTCTTGTTCAGCCCCTCCTTCATCCTGCCTGGACTATTGCAATAACTTCCTAATTCATGCTTCCAGTCTCTTTCCTTTCCAAGCTCTCTTCTGGATAGTTGCCAAATTAATATTTCTAATATATGCCTGACCATGACACTCCCTTGCCTAAAAATCTTCAGTAGCTCCCTATTGTTTTTAGGAGAACCTAAAAACCTAGCGTGTCAGGCCCTCCATAAATTTGGCTGCCACCTACCCCTCTAAACTTATTTTGTATTACTCCATTTCACACACTCAGTATTTCCACCAAACTGAGCTACTAGCTGTTCCCCAAACTCAGCATTTCGCATTTCATTTCCCATCTTTGTGTCTTTGTACACACACACTCACACACACACACACACACACACACACACACACACACACACACACAGTGTGTTCTATACCTAGAACATATTTGTCTGTTTCACCTTACCAAGTGTATGAGGCCAGATTTGAGCACAGGTCTTCCTGACTCCAGGTCCAGCGAGGTGATCCACTGTATCACCTAGCAGCCCGCAGGCAATGATTCTCAGATCTCCTTACCCAGCCCTAACCTCTCTGTTGACCTCCAGTATCACATCTCCTATGGCCTATTGGACATCTCAAACTGAATGTCTTGCCTACCCCTTAAGCCCAATATGTCTAAAACTGATCTCATTAGCTTTTTCCCCCAAAACCTCTCCTCTTGCTAACTTTCCTGTTACTGTCGAGGGCACTGACATCCTTCCAGTCACCCAGGCTTTAAACCTGGGTGCCGTCCTCAACTCCTCACTCTCATCCTCTATATCCAATCTGTTGCTGAGCCCCGTTAATTTTGCCTTTGGAACATCTCTCGTATATGTGCCTTTCTGTCCTCTGATGCTACCTCTGACACTGCGGGGGCCCTCATCACCCCACTCCTGGACTAGTGTAATCACTGCTGCTGGGGCTGCCTGCCCCCAGCCTCTCCCTACTCCAGTCCATCTTCCACTCTGCTTTCTAAAGAACACATCTGACCATGTCACCCTCCTTCTCGGTGGATAGAGACCTAAGCCTGGACTCAGGAAGACCTGAGTTCAAGACTTTAGACACTTACTTCATAGTGGTGTGACCTTAGGCAAGTCACTCAACCTTGTCTGCCTCAATTTCCTCAACTATAAAATGGAGATAATAGCACCTACCTCCCAGGGTTGTTGTGAGGATCAAATGAGGTTATATTTGTAAAGTGCTTAGCACAGTGCCTGGCATGTAGTAGGTGCTTAATAAATGCTTGTTTCCTTCCCTTCCTCTTCAGTAAACTCCAGAGGATGCAGATCACCTTCAGGATCAAATTTTAAATCCTTGGTATGGCATTCAAAGCCCTCCATATCTTTACCTCCACACACACCTTTCCAGGCTTCTTACACATCACTCCCCTACCCCATGTCCTCTTCAGTTCAATGACACTGGTTTTCTTGCTAAAGATACTTCATCCCCTGACTCTGTTGATTTTCACATGTTCTCCTTCCTTATCTCTGCTTCCTGGCTTCGTTCAAGTCCCAGATAAATTCCTGCCTTCTGCAAGAAGCATTTCCCAATCCCCTTTGATGATAGGGTCTTCCATCCGCTGATTATCTGCGGTCCATGCTATGCATGGCTTATTTGCATGTTGTTTTCCCCATTGTGCCGTGAGCTCCTTGACCTTTCTCTGTATCCCCAGGTTTTAGTGCTGTCCCTGGCACATGGCTAGGAAGCCATTGCTCTTCTTAGTTCAGGATAACACTGGTGGTCACTGGGATTATTATACATCTCAGTGCCGATTCTTCCTCGCAAAGTACTTAGAGTAGTTGACACATTTTTTCCTGCTCCCTGAAATGCTGTGAAGAAGATGGAATCCTTCTTAAACCTGTATAAGTAATTTTGACCATGTTTTTCCCCTTGATATATTTAAACCATTGGTCCCCTTGGGAAATTAATATTGTCAATTAATATTAACTTTGTGTGTTTCTGGTAAAATAAATTAAATATTCGTTACTACAGTCATCAGTCATGATCGGGTCGGGTGCTGTATGAGTGGGATGGAGATGGGCATGGGAATTGGCCCCGAACAGGGGGTGCACAGAGTCAGAGCCATGCTGACTGAGTCACAGTCATTCCAAGGTGAGCTTCTCACGCAAAGGGGAGCTTTTCTTATCTCTGTTTCCACAGGAAAAGAATGGGGGTCTACTTCCTAGGGAAATCTATGATTTCTTTCTTTAAGTACTTGTCTTTACAATATTTGAAGCTGGTGAAAATGGTAATAACTGCATTAAGCCCCAGTGGTATTAAAAGCTCTCACTCAGGAAAGTCCGTAGCAGTGGGAAAGGTGTCGTTTCACACACACCAACCAAATAGAATGGATCAACTATGAGAAGCTAAGTAGCACATTAATGCCATCCATTCAGAAGTATATCTTGGTTAGCTATCGCCAAGGGAAAACTGAAGGGCCCCCAAAATTAAGTGGGAAGAAATTAGGTCAAATTTGATGTGGGAAATCATACAGGGTTTTCATTGCCCTCAACCTGTGCCTCTGGCCTCCTAGGAGAATGTAAACTTCTTGAAGAAAAGTTCTGTTTGATGTTTTTGTTTTTGTTTTCCTAGTATCTAGTACAGAGCCTGACGCCTAACAAGTGCTTCATAAATATTTGTTGAATTGCGTCTATGCGCAGAAGTGCATTTAAGCATCAGTAGTCCCCCAGGGATTGTGTAGAGTTATAGACTGGACAATGCCATGATCTCAGGACAAGTAAGGGCAGTAACGAATGGAAAGATGCGCAGTGATTTGTAAACAGATGGCAGCCTGTTACCATCTTTACAATATTATCTATCTCACTTGATCCTCACAACAGCACTGAGAGATAAGTACCTTATACCTATTTTACAGATGAGGAAATTGAGGCAGACAGAGGTGAAGTGACTTGCCCAGGGTCATACAACTAGTAAGTATCTGAAGCTGGATTTGAACTCAGGTCTTCCTGACTTCAAATTCTGCACTCTCTATGTAGTATGCCACAAAGCTACCCATTACCAAGAATACTTTATGCGGGAAAAGTGGTAGAAAAGTCATTAGTGGCCATGTAACAAGAGTGAGATCCAGCCAATAGACGGTCCCAGGGGGCCATTGGCACACTTAAGATATTAAAAGCCCAAGAAACCCTCCAGCCCATTCTTCCTGTTCAGGTCTGGCTTATACTAGGTGCCCTCCAGGGGCAGCATTCATGGAAAACTGGTTAGGAACAGCCCGGCTGGAGAAGTCGGTGGAGGGGAGGGAGCAGGACCTCAGGCTTTAGCAGTGCAGGGAGGGCCGGCACTGATGCAGTCGTGGACATTTCCTCACCTTATCCACTTGCAACTGGAGTACTGGCTGGTGAGCCTGTGCTCGGGCCCTATCAGTTGAGAGGCAAGTACAGTTTATGGAGGATGGTTAATGTGAATGTGTATTGAAAGGTGCTAAAGAACAGAACACTTTGTTACATCATCATTTATGTGTTGAGTCCTTCTGATTCATACAATTCATCCCTTCTTTCCCCACGACACAACCTTACATCCGTCATGGGAGAAGATGCAAATAAGACTAATTCTGGCATTTGTCGGGCTTTTGTACATTGGTACGCAGACTCTAGACTCTATCCTGATCTCTGGTGCCCTGCCTGGCACAGTATGTCATTAATCAATGCTCGTTGATTGATTGATCTCCAGAGGATCCTGACAGATTTGGGCCAAGACCCGACTCTGTTGGACCCCACTGGTGTTGTCTCAGCCCAGAGTGTAACCTCTGATCTGTGCTTTACAGAATAAAGAGGGAGCTCTTTGAAGCACTGAGTTCAACTTCCTACCCATTGATTTACCCCCAACATTACTTAACCCATTTCAATGACAAGGAACTCACTGGCTCACAAGGCAGAGTGTTCCATTCTGAGACTGCTCTAATTGTTAAACTTGTGAGTCCTAACTCCCCTGGGAATAACTCATGTGCCACAATTACAGAATCCAACGTTTGGAAGGAGCCTTAGTGACCCAGTCTCTGACAAGTGACCATCCAGCTTTTTGTCTAAGTCACTGAGAACATGTGAAGCAGCCCAGAGCCAGGCCTCAATTCCTGAGGTCCTCCACTAGAGACTTTCTGCCAGATTGACCTTGAACCATTAGAAGCCATTCTTTGAGGCCAGCCGTCCAGTCACTTCTGAATCCCGCTGATTGGGTTATTGTCTAATCTCCAGGTCTCCATGAGAGCAGTCAGAGAGAGGGAGCCTTTGTTGACAGTGTGGCTAAAATAAAACTGTGCATACCCTTTGATCCAGCAATACCATTAGTAGGTCTCTATCTCAAAGAGATTATAAAAAAGGGAAAAGAACCCACATGTGCAAAAATATTTCTAGCAGCTCTTTCTGTGGTAGCAGAGAATTGGACATTGAGGGGATGCCCGTCCATTGGGGAATGGCTGAACAAGCTGTGGTATATGAATGTAATGGAATACTATTGTGCTATAAGAAATGATGAGCAGGTGATTTCAGAAAAACCTGGAAAGACTTATATGGACTGATGCTGAGCGAAGTGAACAGAACCAAGAAAACATTGTATACAGTAACAGTAACACTGTGCAATGATCAACTATGATTGGCTTAGCTCTTCTCAGCAATTGTCTCTTCCAAGACAATTCCAAAAGACTCATGATGGAAGATGCTATCCATATCCAGAGAAAGAACTATGGAGTCTGAATACAGATTGAGGCATACTGTTTTGTCTTCTTTTTTTGTTTTTTTTTTCTTTCTCTTTTCTTCCAATTCTTTTTTTTTTTTTTTAGGTAGGCAGTGGGGTTAAGTGACTTGCCCAGGGTCACACAGCTAGTAAGTGTTATGTGTCTGAGGCTGGATTTGAACTCAGGTCCTCCTGAATCCAGGGCCGGTGCTCTATCCACTGTGCCACCTAGCTGCCCCTGATTATTTTTTTACAACATGACTAATGAGGAAATCTGTTTAATATGATTGTACATGTATAACCTATGCCAGAGTGCTTGCTATTTTGAGGAGGGGGGAGAAAAGGAGAGGAGGGAGGGAGAAAAACTTGGAACTCAAAATCTTACAAAAATGAATGTTGAAAACTATCTTTCCATGTAATTGAAAAAAATAAAATACTATTAAGTACAAAACAAAAAAAAAAGAAAGCATGGTTAAAGTCTAGGTAAATTATAGCCAAAGCATTCTTGTACTTTACTATTTGAACAATTCAGTCAAAAAAGGAAATAGAAGGTTAGTTCTGTATGACCTGTTTTTTTTTTTCTTAAAAATTGTGTTTTGGTATTCTGAATTTGACAAACACCAACAAACATGGACATTTCTATATACAAAGAAGAACAGAAAAAGAGTGTTGCATATGAAACAGTAAATCTCATTACGTGAAGCTTGTTTCTTCATTTTTTCAAGTGTCTATGAAATTCAGCACATGGCTTCCGGAAGCTGTCCTTCTTGTTTGTGTTTCCCTCAGAATCTGCTGTTCTCTCACCATTTTTAATACTTCATTGACACTCTTCTTCCTTTTCCTTTCCAAAAAAGAACAATAGGCAATGAGTTAACAAAGTAAATGAAGACAACACAAAACTGCTCAGTTACAGTGGTCTGTGTTACTGTCATGTTGTTATTGTTGTTGAGCTAGCTGTTGTTCAGTCTCGTCTGATTCTTTGTGACCCTATTTGGGATTTTTTTGGCAGAGATATTGGAGTGGTTTGGCATTTCCTCCTCCAGTTCATTTTACAGATGAGGAAACTGAGGCAAACAGAGTGAAGTGGCTTGCCCAGGGTCACACAGCTAGGAAATGTCTCAGGCTAGATTTGAACTCAGGAAGATGAGTCTTCCTGATTCTAGGCCCAGCACTCTATCCACTGCAGTGCCACCTAGCTGTTTCCATCACTGTCATACTGTCCACAATTAAAAAACAAAAAAACAAAAACAAAAACAAAAATAGGTCCCTTCTCTCCAGTAATGCAATTGGATACCTAACTCTGTGCGCAACAATTGAGGAATGGCTAAAGAAATTGTGGTGTATGAATGTGTAGCAGATATGCAATAGGAAAAGGACTTCCTTTTTTCTAATTCCACAGGCCCAAGGCATAGGTACTGATGGAAAAAGAACAGAGGTTACCGAGTAAGAAAGCAGGCCACGCATGGGGATGGGAGGGACATCCAGGAACTCCAAGGCCCATCAGGGATTTAGCAGCAGCAGTGGCCAGGCTATCTATTCCTGTTGGGCCAGCACCAACAAGTAGGTAAAGCAAATAGAGCGTGGAAACTGTGACATGGATGCCATCTTCATTGAAGTTCTCAACTCTAATCACAGTACTCTGACTTTTCTTATTGGTAGTATGGCTTTGTTTATGCAGTAGTTGGGGCTGACCCTTCAGGGAGGATGGAAGGAAACAAGCTTATTCCTTTGGTAACTGAGACAGAATTCCATTTCTACCCTTATATGTGTTGTAATGTCTGCTTTTTGTTCAAATGCTTATTGGTAGCCTTGGTTGCTTGCAGGTAAACTGAATGTTTCTTAAATGAGCCGTACTCAGATGTTCCTCCAGACTACCTGGTTTGGCATAGACAGAAAAGTCATACTAATATTCTTAGACAGATGTTCCCCAAGAATGGACGCTGGTATAACTGCCACAAGTAGAAGGGTGTGGGGGTCCTACTTGGCACCTGGAATACAAATGAATTCAATGAAGTGCTATTGTGTCATAAGGAACAATGAATAGAAATCAGAGAGATTTAGGAAGCCTTGTATGAACTGATGCAGAATGAAGAAAGCAGAACCACAAGCACATCATACTCAATGACTACACTGATATAAATGAAAAAAAAAAACACTGGTAGCAACAAACTCTGGTCAAATATGGACAATGTCAATAGGAGATTATCAAAGCTAAACCACTTTTCTGTTAATAAATGGTAAATGACAAAAGTAGAAAGTGACTTGTACAATCTTTTAGGTAGTTTTGCTTGTCTTTGGGGGAAGAATACTTCATGGGAAGTTTGTTTATATGTTGAGATGTGTCTTCTTTGTCAAAAAAAGGGATGGGGGGTGGGAGCAGAGAGAGAGAGAATAAGAGAGACCATTGGGCCATGTATCAGAAGATTTAAGCTCCTTTACTAGCTGTGGGCTCTTAGAGTAGGTGATCTCTAAGCTCTCTCACAATCCTGTCATTCTTTGATCCCTGACAAGTCTCAATGCACAAAATGGTCTTTGAAAATTTTCAAGAAAACTTGACAAACACAATCAAACTCAAATATTTGCCTGTCCGCCATGTACCTCATCCTATCGGGGACATGGTAATAGTATAAAACATTAAAGAGCTTACTGGGGAAAATGAGACAAACATCAAAACAATGGCCAAAGCTCCTAGAGCAATGCAAAATGATGACATTCTTTACAGCATTGCAGAAAACGGGAAAAGATGTGGTAGCAGTTAATTCTATGTAATGAAGTACTAAGTGGTATGGTAGATGTGCATTAGGAGTTAGAAGAAGAGATAAAGCCACCTGGCATAGCTCAGTCACAGGCGGTTTCATAAAAGAGGTTATACTTGATGCCAGGCCATTCCAAGTGAGTTGACAGCCCGATGACCATAATGTGTTCAGGGGACAGTGAGAGTGGCCCAGGCTAAGTAAAGGCTGCTTCTGGAGGGCCTTGAATACATAGCAACGCATTTGTATGGGTACGAGAGCAGGCAAGAAAACATGCCTAGTTAATCAAATGGAGGTACCCAAGCACAATGTTGACTGGTGAAGAACTCTCTCTCTCTCATCAGACTGAAATACTTGCAGTGAACCTATGGAACTGGGCAGTGAGCAGAAGAGTAGGACTGTTAATCACTGCCGAACAAAAAGTTAAGCGTAAGTACACATTGCCTGGCTTACATGATGAAAAGTCCTTTCAATGGGCATTGGGGGACATACATTCTTTGAGGTTCAGACAGGGAGATAGCCTGGTACAGTAGAAAGGATTCTGGATTGGGAGTCAAAGGGCCTGGATTTAAAGTTGGCTTCTGCCACTCACTAGCTGTGTGACCTTGGATAATTCACTTCCTCCCTGGGCCTCAGATTCTTCATCTGTAAATTGAAGGGGTTGGACCAGATGACCTTTAAGGTCCCTTCCAACTCAACCTATATGATCCTAAGTCAGTTTGGAGCCATCTTAAAATAGGAGATTTATAAGGAAAACCTGAGCACTGGTTTCACAGTAAGTAAACTCTTCCTGTGTTGGGCCTCCTTGGGTGATTAAGCTTGAACACAGTGAGATATGAAACTAAAGTCAGTAGTCACTTGTTGATAAAAAGGTTACTAGGCATATGCATAAGAAACTGTTTGGTTGAGAGCTACAAAAAATGATTAAAGGGTGGGAAAACAAGAGCCTTGAGGAAACATTATTTACCTTGAAGAGGAGAACGCTGAAAGGAGGCTGAATCACAGCCTTCAGCTTGAAAGGCTCTTTTAGCAATTTTCTTCCCACTAGAGTAGAAGCTGCAGCATGAGGGATTTTCTGTTAAATAAGGCAGGTTTTCTTGATGGGGAGACTTGCTACACATTAGAGTGGGTTGCTAAGGATATAGTTGGAGATGCTCCTTAGTCAGACAGTGCTAAAAATAGCATAGCTTTCATCTGCCTGAGATGACTGAAATCTAGTCCTACGTGATGGCCAACAGATGGCTTCTGGAAAGGAAGATTGTCCTGGTAAAGGTCTAGAAGTGCCGTAGCCAAATTGACCAGGGCGAGGAAGTCACTCTCCTGGTGGTGTGTAAGTCGGGTGACCCTTCTTCTATAGTCCTCATTACCCTTCTTACTATAAAGGGTCCATTAAGACAGAGGTCTGATACCCTGCTGAGCTATACACATGGTCACAACTGGGTTTTACCTTTACCATTTGGCTTTGCATACCTTGGAAACAGACTAATTACAAAGCCAGCTTCAACTCAAGTCTGGACAAAGTTTCAAGCTTTTGAGAGGGGATGGGGAGGAGAGAGCAGAACATTGGATTGGGTGTCTCTGAACCCAGGGGTGTTACTGACTGACTAGCTGAAGGGCCTTGTATGGGTCCCCTCACCTTGAGCAGATTTGACTTGATTCCTAAGGTCCCTTCTAGTTCTGAATCTCTGATCCCTGTGAGAAAGTAGAGGTCGGTGTACTTGAGATTGGGTCTGGCAGTAGCAACTCTGCTCTTGGGCTCTATCTTCTCTAAGAAGGTTTAAAGAATGGCTCCTTCTCCATCTCTTCCAGGTAGGAGTTGGCATCTCTCTTCCTCAGAGCCTAGGTTCTTAGTATGGGAGTTAACAAAAATCTTCAAAAGTTGGGACAGTATTTTATTGATGCTCTTTTCTCTACATTTTTCTCACTTTTCAGTGCCCCCCTCCCAAAATCCTCTTTTATAGCAGAAAAGTACAATTACCAAACCAATGTTTTGGCCACATATGATAATGTAAGCCTAATTCAGAACCTGTTTTTGTGGAGCAACTTATTTAGATATCTCTGAGATATCAAGGAACAACCACTCTAGCTATAGTTGCACAGCTTGGCAAAGACCTTATGCAGGGGCTCCTCATGGGTCATTTCCTGACAGCAATAGAATTATTCATTCACCCAAAGTGTCGCACTAGGTGTTACAGAGGATAACATGACAGCAGGCCTCAACGTAAAGGGATTGAGTTCCAAAAGTTTGGAAAGTCAGGTATTTGGAACTCAGAACATTTTTCCCCAAATAAAAAGCCCTCATGTTTAAGTAGGGCTCTTAGGATTTGCTCAGAGACAATATTACAAATTATTGTTAGATTCTGAGGCTAGTCTACAAACGAATAGATTTAACTCATATTGTTGATAAAATATCATATTTGCAACACTGTTAAAAAAAATATTTCAGCAACAGTAGAAGTTAAATAGACTTTTAAAATGGACTAGTGTTGTTTACACCCAAATCAAATATTTTGTGCACAGCTGTGTACAGAGCTAGGTAAGATCCACAGCAGCAGTGGAATGGCTAGGGTGCTGCACTCAGGAGTACCATATTGGGTAACCTTTCTGAGCCTCATTTTGCTCATCTGTAGAATGGAGATACCTGTAGGGTCTGCCACCTAGGACTGTTGGGAGGGTCAAAGGAAATAATGTACATTAAAGTACTTTGTAAACTCAAAAGTGCTAAAGAAATATCAGTAGCATTTGGAGCCTTGGAAAATAGAAAGGAAACCTCTTCCTGAACATGAAAATGTATGTCACTGGGAAGATGTGACTTTAAGAGATTACTGCACCAACACATTTTTCAGGAACACGCCTATTTTTAGTGAGGTATACCTTTATTTGCTGACCTTTTCTTTTTTTCCAGTGGCAAGCTCATCTCTCAAAACCTGGCACACTGCCTCTTTCATTTGCAAAAGAATAGAGACATTAACATTCCCAGAGTTCCCAGCTCCTGCCACCTGAGGGACTAACTAGTCAAGCAGAGCAGAGATGATTCATCTTCCCCCGTTTCCAAACATCCTTGCCCAGTGTAATGCAGCTTTCACATCAAGCTCTATGCCAGAGTGTTTTTCCAAGTTGTTACCTTGGTCCTCTGTGGTAGATACCAGGTGGCAAGTACAGAGGTAATGAATGACTAAGCCCAGAATCTTGGGCTCATAAATGACAGACGCCATTCTTAAGCGTTGTAATCTCTTAAATTCAAATATAGATGTTAAGCGCTCTCTGCTTCAGTTGCTCCATCATTTCAGCAGGGTCAATCAATCTGTTTCTTTTCCCAGTAGTATTGCTTGGGACTAGTGTTGGCATTGGCAGAATGGCATCTGAGCTTGACTGCCAGTGTACCATGCTCCCTTGGAAATGAACTTCTGAAGGGTCAGTCACCCAGAGTCGCATGGCTGATAGGTGTCCGAGGCCTTCCTGGCTTGCATGCCAGCGCTCTAGCCACCACACTACACTGCTTCAAATACAAAACAGACTAACTAGAGAAAAGATGCTCTTGAAGATCATGGCACTTGAGTTGAGGCTTAACAAGGGCTAGTGGAGGACTCTTGATGTATATTGTGAAGAAAGAGGCTGTGATTGCAACCTGGAATGAAAGATTTCTATTTCCATTTGAGGTCCCAGAGGGGAAAATGTACAATATGATATCTTGGGTTTGGGTTTTATTTCCTATAACTTTTAAATAGTGTAGAATCTAAAATAAGAACAAACTTACTGGGAAAATCACATTTTTGGGGCAAATCTAACCTGCTCTAGTCTCCAGAGGCCACCTTCAGCCCTCCGTAAGCTTCTGGTTCCAATACGGTCTTTTTCCTCTGAATGAGGATACAATGGCATATTTAGATGTTCACCTTGACCAGTCACCAGCTGCACACCTGGCTTTGTTTCATTCTTCATGATCGCTTTTTATAAATGCATAGCAAAGAAGAATGCTGTATGTTTATGGGTATGTAATTGATATTTTACAGTATGTCATGTTGCTTGCAAGCTGGTATTTACGTTTGATGGCGACTGTCCTGTTGAAGAATCTATTCGAAGACAGATTTTGGTAAGTCCTAGATAGATGGGGGGAGGAAGACTAGAAATCCTTGTTTGTGTGCTAGAAGGGACCTACTTCAGAGATCTCTAGTCTAGATGTTTTTAGCCTGGGGTCTGTGAACCTGTCTTTTTTTTTTTTTTATTAATTTATTTTGATTTAGCAGCAATCATTTCCAGAAGCTTTTGAGTTTAAAATTTTTCTCCTCCTCCCTCCCCACCTCCCTCCCCAAGGTGGCATGCAATCTGAAATAGGCTCTACATATACATTCCTATTAAACATATTTTCACATTAGTCTTTTGTAAGGAAGAATTGGAGCCAATAGAAGGAACCACCAGAAAGAGGAAACAAAACACAACAGAGTAAAAGAAAAAACAGTAAATAGTATGCTTCAATCTGCATTCAAACTCCATAGTTGTTTCTTTGCATGTGGATAGCATTTTCCATCATGAGACTTTTGGAGATGTCTTAGATCCTTGCATTGCTGAGAAGGGTTAAGTCTATTAACATTAGTTATCAAACAGTGTTGTTCTGAAGTCTGCCTGCTCAGCATTTCTTATAGCACAATAGTACTCCATTGCATTCATATATCACAACTTGTCTGTGAACCTGTCTTTAAAAAATAGTTTGATAATTGATTTCAGCATAATTGGTTTCCTTTGTAACCATATGTATTCTACTGTGTGCATTTAAACACATGATCCTGAGAAGGGTCTGTAACACTAACAAAGTGAAGAACCTCTACTCTAGTCCAAAACTAATTGATGCCTTTTCTTTTTTCATCATAATAATTTTCCCCAGTATTCCTTTCCCCTCCCAGACATCTATTTTGTAGAACAAATAGTATTTTTTTTTTTAATTTTTAAAAAAAATTTATTAATTTACTTTGATTTATCAACAATCACTTCCATATGCTTTTGAGTTGAAAATTTTTCTCCCCCTTCCTCCCCCCCCCACCCTCCCCAAGCCAGGCGCACAATCTGATATAAGCTTTACGTTTACATACCCATTAAACATATTTTCACATTAGTGAAGTTGTAAGTAAAAACAAATAGTATATTTTTAAAGACAAAAAAAGAAAAGAAAAAGAGGGAAAAATCTGCACAACCAGTCAGTATATTGAAAAAGGCTAAAAACCTGTGCTAAAAACCCATGGAACTCCCATCTCCTTATAGAGGGGTGGGTTGGGGGTGTCTTTTCATGTCTCATCGTTTGAGCCATGCTTGATCTTTCTCGTTTTGCTCCGCTCACTTGTGATTTTTTGGGTGTGTTATTATTCTTCCCATTGACATTGTTGTAGTTACTGTGTATGTTATTTTCCGGGCTCTGCTTCAGTTCACGTAAGTGTCTTCATGCTTCTCTGTATTCCTCACCCACATTATTTCTTACAACACAGTAATATTCCATGGTATCACGTACTCCCATTTGTTTAGCCACGCCCTGTCGATGGACATCTACTTTGTTTCTAATTCTTAGCTATCACAAAAAGTGCTGCTATAAATATTTTGGACCATGTAACAACTTTCTTCTTATCAGTAGCTTCCTAGTAAGCCCAGTAACGGAGTCTTTTGAATCAGAGGGGATGGACATTTTAGTCGCTTGATTTGCGTAAGTCCAAATTGCTATGAATAGGCACCAGTGGCTGGGGGCAAGAGCAGGAAGGATCGGGCAAGGCAAATCCATCAGAAGTTATTAAGCACCTGCTATGTGCAAGGCGCTGTGCTAAGTGCTGGGGATACAAAGAAAAGCAAAAATACATTTTCTGCCCTCAAGGAGCTCATCATCTAATGGGAGAGACAAGTTATCTATATAGGGTTAACTGGAGATGGTCTCAGTGAGCAGGCACTAACTTGTTAGGTGGAGGCAGAGGTGGAGAGAGGGCATTCCAAGAACGGAGCCAGTGAAAACGCTCACAGTGCGAGATGGAGCGTCTTGTGAGAAACAGCAAGGAGGCCAGTATCATTGCATTGCAGAGTATGTGGTAGAGAGAGTGAAGACTGGAAAGGTGGGGGTGCAGGTGGGACAGCTGTCAAACTGAGGATTTTGTATTTGAGCCTGGAGGTGAGAGAGCCACTGAGTTGATTAGATGCCAGGGCGGGTGGAGGATGGACCGAGTGAGGAGAGACTTGAAGCGGGCAGACCACCCGGAAAGTGATTGAGCTACTCCAGGTATGATGTGATGAGGGCCTCCACTGGGTTGCTGGCATTTACAAGAGATATTTTGCAGATGAAATTGATAGGATGGCAACATATTGGATATGGGGTTGAGGTGTGAGAGAGTGTAGTCGAGGATGACACCTAGGCTGTGAGCTGGAGTGACTGGGAGGATGGTGGGGCCCTCAACAGTAATAGGGAGGTTCGGAAGAGGGGAAGGTTTGGGAGGAAAGATGAGTTCAGTTTGCAACATGTTGAGTTTAAGATTTCTATTTCTGTTTCTATTACATCCAGTTCAAGATGTTCAGTAGTCAGTTAGGTTAGGAACTAGCTCATGCATTTGAGATGAGCCATGAAGGAAACTAGGGTGAGGGATCTAAGAGGTGGAGGTGAGCAGGGAGTACATTCTAGGCATGGGGGGAAAGTCTATATAAAGGCATAGGATGGGAAACGAGGTTGTGTGTGTGAGGAATGGGCAGAAGGTCAGTTTATCCACATGGTAGGCAGAGCACGTGAAGGGAAGTAATGGAGAATAAGCCTTGGAAAGGTGAGGTAAAGCCAAGCTGTAAAGACAAAGGCATTTGAGGTTGAATCTCAGTATTCCTCACGAGCCACTGAGCAGGGGAATGGCTTAAGACTGTCACTTGGGTTCAAATTTTACCTCTGATACTTACTAATTCTGTGACTGTGGCGAAGACATGTAACCTCGCCGTGCCTCACTTTTCTCACCTTCAACATGGAAAGAGGTCCTGCTTCCAGCCCAGTTCTCACAGCCATCATTTGGGGAGGCAAACACCTGTGGACAAGGGCCAGCCATCTCCACCAACTGTCAACCAACTGCCACCCACAAGGTGGGCAGGCCAGCCTACCTGAAGCAGCCAGGTCCCCTGAGGGAGAGACGGGAGGCAGCATGTGCCAGGCATGTCAGACCACTACTACCTCCTTGGCCATCATCAGACCTTGATGGAAACAGCCTGGGACCCTGAGCCCAAGAGCCTTGGGAACGGCAACCAGCTCTGTGCCCACAGCCATGTGGAAGGAAACCCTGGGGAGATGCAGCCTGGCCACCATTTCCCCACATACCTTGAAGGAGATGACCCAAGACCCCAAAGTCAAGAGCCTTGGGAATCACAGTGCCCCCTAAACCACCAGATCTGCTTCCAGCCCAGCCCCTGCAGCGATCACTGAGAGGAGAAATCATTGTGGAGAAGGGAACCCATCTTCCTTACCATCAAGTAGATGCATTAGGAGAAGGACCTGTGATTTCATCAATGTAGGGAACTCCCCATGTGGTAACTTCCTCCACCAATAAATGCTATCATAGAATAATAACGTGATAAATACTGTATAATGGCCATCTGTTCTTTAGCTTCTTTCCCAAATACAGTAACCCAAATGTAGCTTGACATACTTATATTTCCCAGAAATCAGAAGACTACGTATTTCCCCAAGACTTAGTCACAAGATCAGGACCCAGTTTGAGGGAGTGATGGTGGTGAATGTTTTCACGCATGTCTACTTTCTTCCAGATGACAATGAAAACTGGGAAAGGGTGGGTTGATGTCGGCAATGCTGTACTGGCGGATGGATTTCTTGAGACTGCCCAGAAGGTAGGTTGTTCCCAATGCATAGTTTGCTGCAGCCTGTAGGCCCAGATGTGCAGGGGCTCACCCCGCGTTTGTCTGGGTTTTGTTTTCTAGCATCTAGAGAGGTTGTGTGCTGAATTACTGGAGAGAAGTCACGGCAGCCCTGATGAGGATGTGCATGAGATCGATGTCAACAGGGACCTGTTTAAGGTGCTTTCTTACCAGGCTGAGTCGGTAGGTATCCATCTGCTTGCCAGTCACTGTGGTGTGTATGCATGTAGACGAAAGTAACAAGGGCCTTGGGTCCCGTGGGGCCTAGTGGAGCTTCCATTGGGTGGCTCCTGTAACTCTGGCCTTAGCATCTGAGGACAGTCCTCTTGTCAGGGCTTGCTTGGCACTGGCATCTGTGTCTATGTGCACGTGTGGATGTAGTTGAAAAGACTGATGCCTAGTTAATCATCATTTCCCCTCAGTGAATGCCAGGACTCTTTGGCTTCTGGCAGCACCTGTCTCTGGTTTCAGCCCCTGTCTGTATGGCTCTGACTGTCTGAAGCACTGGTTTGAAAAGAACCCCTTCATTTCTGATTGCTGTAGCCAGGCTGACTCGCCTAAGGCTGGGTTCCACAGACTGAAAGAAGCAGCTCATCCTTCAGCTAATTGTGGGCCTTTGACTTTAGTTTCCCATCTGAACAGTTGCTGTGCTATTCTGCTTTCCCCCATTTCTTCTGCCTGCCTACACCCAGAAAAACAAATTTAGATTGAATATGTCACAGGCCATCTCTAGGCTAATGTTGGTTTGAAACTTAGTATTAAGGATAGCTTCAAGGTGATTCTGCTGGAAGTGCTAAAGAAGTACATGACCTCTCCTGCGGAGGCCTTCAGTTTGCCTTGCAGACAACACAAAGGGAGGAAGGAAAGAGGAAGGGAGAGACTGTTTTGTGTCATCTGCATTGGGCTTGGGGGGAGGACCTGTGATTTCATCGGTAGAGGGAACTCTGGGCCAGTGCCCATCAGCACCTGCTGGGCAACTTGGAGTCTCAGAGAATTGTCTAGGGCCTTGGAGAGGCCACATAGCTTGGCCAAGGTCACAGGGCCAGTAGATGCCAGAGGCACTAAGTCATGTTGCCCTCATGCGCTCTATTTTCCAAGAAGTTAAAAGTATCTTAATGGTCTAGATTGAGTAGTAGGCCAAACAACATTTATTATATATTCTATACATATGGATGTGTGTCTGAGGATATGTCTATGGGTTTTATTAGGTGCTTACTACCTCCAGTCTCCTCCTACTCCAGGCCAGCCTCCACACTGCTGCTGCCAATGGAAATTTCCTTAAGCACAGGTCTGATTACTGAACCAACTTCATTGACTTCTCATTGTCTCTAGGGTAAAAGAAAATCTCTTCTGCTCTGCTTTTAAAGCCCTGCAAATCCGGATCCCAATCTCTCTTTCTAGCCTCCTTGGACCTTCCTTGCACTTCCGCACTTTCCCAGCTTCTCTCTGTTCTTTCCTCAGCACATGCCATTTCCTGTCTCTGTGGCTTTGCCCTGGTCATCCTCTGAGCGTGAAATGAACTCCCTCTGAACTCCACTTTTCATAGAGTCCCTCTTTTCCTTTAAAATACACTAAAGGCACCATTTTCTCCAGGAACTGTTTTCTGATCGCCCTCCCTTCAAGTGATAGTGCCCTCCCTTTCAAATTCCTATCTTGTATGTGTGTATAAAGTAGTTATATATGTATAGCTATGTATGTGTATACACACACACATACGTATATTATATATATTATAGTATTGGGAAGTATTGACTTCCCATTTATGCTGTATAGGTCAATGTTTTTATAACTACTTGTCTCCTCATTAGAATGTCTTTGGGCTCTTCATGATTAGGGATTATTCCTTTTATTCTTGTATCCCCAGAACCTAGCCCAGTGCCTGGCACATACTTGTGGATTGATTACCCGTGCTGGGGATTCAGAGAAAGGCCAAATGGTTCCTGCCTTCAAGGAGCTTCCATCGTATTGAGGGATCATACATGGGAAATGGGAGGAAGGTACCCCTATATTAGAGAGACACCCAGAAAGTGTCTTGGAGGCCTGGGCCAAAGTTAGCTCTCTCAGCCAGAGAAGCCAGAAGTAAAGTGCAAGTTTCAGATGGGGTGGAGATGGTTATAGAGTAGGGGCTGTAGAGAACAGAGAGCCAAGAAGTAGCATGGAGGCCTGGGCCCCTGGAGGAGAGGGCAAAAAGCCCTGTATTAAGTTCAAAAAATTAACTGTACAAGTATAGAAAAGACTTAAGGACTTTAGTTTATTGTTATCTTGGTGGGAGGCAGCAGTATGTCCAAAAAGCTAAAGAAATCTTAGGCCATGTTCATACAGATGTCGCATCCAGATCCAAAGAGACAGCCATGCCACTGCTCTCTGGGCTAGGGAGACCACACCTGGCATGCCCTGTCCAGTTAGGGGGCCACCTTGGATCGCATTGAGTTTGATGCCTTTTGTTTTGGCACCACCTTCATTTCCCAGCTTAGTGACTCCTTTCTTGTAACAAAGATCCCCAGGTATGCCAAACTGACCCCCAGCATGGCCGCCTGAAGCACTGGATGCAGCACTGGGTTCCTGTAGTCCCTGACTCCTCAGCTGAAAGGAGGAAGGCATTATTTCAGCATCTGTTCTCTGAGACTCATAGTTGTGAGGGCACTTACTTTGACTTTGGCTGCCCTTTGCCATCTTCATTTACATTATTGCCCTCATTGTGTATATTGTTTCCCTCACTCCACTGACTTCGCCTCTTCTCAATTTTCTCAGAATTCCCTATATGTCCTTTCCAATGGCTCAGCAGTTTTACACTACATTCGGATACCACATTTTTCTCAGCTGTCTCTCAGTTCATGAGTGTGTTCCATTTTATCAGAGGGACACTGACAAATTAGAGCATTTCAGGAGGTAAAGGGTCTGAAATCCATGTTGAAGGAACTGGGTTTGTTTAGTTTAGCCTAGGGAAGAGAGGTAGGGAGTAGATGACAGCTGTCTTTCTCTGCCTGTGCCCTTGAACTCATCCCTTCTCATCTCTTCCAGGAATTTGCCCTGTTCATCATCCCCTTCTTTTTCATTTTCAGTCTGTCCCTGTTTACTTCCGCCTTCCCCGATGTCTTCAGACATAATTAGATAGGTCTCTCTATCCTAAAAGGAACTTTCTCCTGACCCTGCCACACCTTGAAACTATCATCCCATTTTTCCTAAGCTGCTAGAGTTATCTCCACTTTCCCAGCACTCACTCACTTTACAGCCCTTTGCAGTTTGTCTTGTCCCACCACACTATTCGAATGGTTTTCGCCCAAATGGAATGGTACAGAGAAGACTAGCAGAGGTTAGCGATGAGATCTGGTGGCCTTGTTTCTTCTTGCTCTTCTTGATCTTTCAGCAGCTTTTGACACCGATGACCACTCCCTCCTCCTGGATATTGTCTTCTTCCCTGACTTCTGTGATGCTGCTTGTACCTGGTTCTCTGAATTTAATTTTTGGACAGTAGCTTGCCCATCCTGAGTGTTTACTTTTGATGATAATGATTTGGGTCTCATTTGATCCCCACAACAACCCTGTGTCAAAGAAAGTGAAAGCCCCTGGATTATGTTGAGTAGATGTCTTTTTTTTTTAAAGTCATGTTGGTCAGCACTCAACTGAGGGCTGAATTGGTGCCCTTTGTGAGGGTGTTAATGATGTCCTTGAAGGCTCTGTGCCCAGGAGGCATGTCTTGTGTAAGAGAGATGAGCTTTATTCTCCTGGGTCTCTAGGAGGGAGCTAGGACTGTGTCTGGTCCTGCCTCCTTCTGAAGCCTCATTCTTGATCACCCTGATTCTTCCCTAGCTCCACTCTCCACTGTTTCACCCGTTGCCTGGCCCATTCCGCTGTGCCCTTTGGAACTCCAATAGTATTGGCTATATACACTCCTCTGCATCCTCCAACTTTTTAAAAATTAATTTATTTTTAGTTTTCAACAATCACTTTCAGAAGCTTTTGAGTTTTAAATTTTCTCCCCCTCCTTCCCCACCATAGGCTCTACATATACATTTCTATTAAACATATTTTCACATTAGTCATGTTGTAAAGAAGAATTACAACCAATAGGAGGAATCGCAAGAAAGAAGAAACAAAACAAAGAAGAAAAAAAAAGAGCAATTAGTATGCTTCGATCTGCATTCAAACTCCATAGTTCTTTCTTTGGATGTGGATAGTATTTTCCATCATGAGACTTTTGGAAATGTCTTAGATCCTTGCATTGTTGAGAAGGGCTAAGTCTATCAAAGTCAGTCATTGCACAGTGTGGCTGTTACTATGTACAACATTCTCCCGGTTCTGCTCACTTCACTCAGCATCAGTCCATACAAGTCTTTCCAGGTTTTTCTGAAGTCTGCTTGCTCATCATTTCTTATAGCACAATAGTATTCCATTACATTCATATAGCACAACTTGTTCAGCCATTCCCCAGTGGATGGGCATCCCCTCAATTTCCAATTCTTTGCCACCAGAGAAAGAGCTGCTATAAATATTTTTGTACATGTGGGTCCTTTTCCCATTTTTATGATCTCTTTGGGATACAGGCCTAGAAGTGCTATCGCTGGGTCAAGAGTATGCACATTTTTATAGCCCTTTGGGCATAATTCCAAATTGTTCTCCAGAGTGGTTGGATCATTTCACAACTCCACCAACAATGTATTAGTGTTCCAATTTTCCCACACCTTCTCCAACATTTATCATTTTCCTGTTTTGTCATGTTAGCCAATCTGATAGGTGTAATTGTGGTACCTCAGAGTTGTTTTGATTTGCATTTCTCTAATCAATAGTGATTTAGAGCATTTTTTCACATGACTATAGATAGCTTTAATTTCTTCCTCTGAAAACTGCCTCTTCATCCCCTTTGTCCATTTATCAATTAGGGAATGACTTGTATTCTTACAAATTTGACTTAGTTCTCTATATATTTTAGAAATGAGGCCCTTATCAGAGACACTGGCTGTAAAAATCC